TTTCTTCTTGAAGGTCGCGGAAGCCCGGGTTGAACTCATACATAGCTTCCACTAGTCACAGACGTTATGCTCAAGTTTATAAGGGCCGGGGACATGCTCTGTGGTCACCGTTATTTTTACCGACTTACAGTTGTGACACGCAAGCTGCTTTTTTATGCTTTCGGGGGCGGTGGGAGGGAGGGAGGGGGGGGGGGGGAAGGGAAGGGAAGGGGGAAAGGGGGGTAACTTGACAGCGGTTAGTGAAGGCGCGTCTGGAACGATTGCATGGAAGGGCAAAAGGTTTGCTGCACCAAAGTCGTGCCAACTTTTGTCCAGAGTCTGAACAACAACTTTTGAAAAGATAAGTGATCTTAACGCATCGAGAGAGTCGATGTAAACTACTGCGAAGGCAACCCTATTTTCAATAATATTGTAGCGGTGCTGCTGAGGCGCGTGCTAGAACCCACCGAGGAAAAAGACAAAACGCGTGCAGACGGCGCGTGACACATTTCTAATCTGGTCTAATTTGGCTATGGACGTCCTTCTGTAAATTAAAAAAGTAACATTTGATGTCAGAAGTGGGATTTCTGGCATAACGCCTCAAGTTTCCCGGAAAGCTCCTCTCGGGAAGATTATCCTCTGCAATATGGTCAGCGCAGGCGTGTTATGGAGCCAATGGCTGGCGGCTGGATTGCCTGACGCCGCAAATCTTCATGCCGGAACCGCCACGAACAAGTGACCATTTCGCCATGTTCCGCACGACCATTCTGTCGCCGTGCAATGGAGATCCTGCGTTGGCCTATGGCCACATTTGCATCCCAAAGCTTCAAGGCATTGAGGAGCGTAAGTGCGCGCTGGACTTGAATGTTTTTCTGACTGTCGTTTTGGACATTCGGCGGATGAGGTCGTGAGCCTAACGTTCTATCTTCTGGACTTTGGCCTTACCGGCACATTTCATTTTCGTTGTTGGTTTTCAAAATGCGCAAATGCTCAGTGATGCTTTGCAACGATATGATATGTGCCGGCATCAGAGTTCTGATTAGACATGTCACCAGGGTTGACGAAAACAGGAGCCAGCGGCGACCAAGAGACAAGTGTCTGGGCATCAACTTGAAAAAGCGCTGATGTTCTGGATTTCGGTGTTGCGGAGGAACTGCGACGTTGGCGTAAATTTCGTACGCGTGCAGAAGAGCACCGGCAACGACACCTGCGAAAAGAACTGTCTGTCTTTAATGGAACGTGGCGACGTTGTTTAGCAGAATGAATGGTATATTCGGCTGGTCACTTCCGAGCGCTCCAATCATCCGAGTCGGAGCTACCAGATCCCGAAGCGCCTCCGCATCGGAGCGAGAGAATCGCGCGCCCAGCCGAACGCTCCTCAACTTTTCGGAGCGGCAAGCCGAGCGGATAGAGGGTGGCCTGGGCCACTAGAGGACGGCGCGAGCCGCCCTCTAGCGGAACTTTTGCCTCTCGGATTCAAAGGTTTCAGCAGTGTTTAGTCATCCGTCCATCGGTCAATCCTTGAAAAATGCCAGCCGTCAACGCGGACGCTGATAAAGTCTTCGCAAGCCAGCCGTGCGAAGCGGGAGTTCCTGCAAAACTATCAAAACAGACAACATTACAGCTTGAAAACTCTCGTATTTTTGTTCTTACCGCATTGTGCGAGTAGGTTCGCACTATAAAAACACAGGCCTTGACCTTCAGCACCGGACAAGGTGCGTCAAACAACTTGGCAAACTTCGCTTCGTAAACACGGCCCTCGTCGTCGTCGTCCGAGCTGCTGGTGTTGTCGCTGTCTGCTAGCTTCGCCAGCAGCACTGACGGTGCCACCCCTAACATTAAACGTCTTCGTTTAAACGACATTTCACCTCAATCCGTGTATCACAACACAACGGTGACGGCGTCGAGACTGACGGCTGTTGTTCGCAGTCCTTTTCTGCGGAGTAGCTGCGTTTTCGCCGTCCGCTTCCGACACAAAAGCAAAATGGCGGAATGGCTGGAGTCACGTGACCGGTCGGCAGCCAGATCTCTCACGCGCTCCCACTTCCAAGTCAGAGCGCCTCAAACCGCTCCGATTCAGAGGACGGCGAGAGTCGGAGCTTCGAGAGCGCTCCAAAAGAACAAGGCGAATATACTTGAAGCGCCAGGCATCGACCGACGATTGCACACCGGCTTTTCAGAGCGCTCCAAGAGGCCGAAAAGCGACCAGCCGAATATACCATAAAAAACTAGGAAGCAACATCAGAAAAAAAAAAACTGAGAGGGGAAATATTGTAGCGGTGCTGCTGAGGCGCGTGCTAGAACCCACCGAGGACAAAGACGAAAGGCGTGCAGACGGCGCGTGACACACTTCTAATCTGGTCTAATTTGGCTATGGACGTCCTTCTGTAAATTAAAAACGTAACAATATGTTCAGCTGCAAGAAGGAGAGCATACAGTTAGGCAGTCAGTATTGTTGCCGAGTTATTAATCCTTGTAACCTCTTCAACAGAGGGTCCCACCAGTGAACAGCCGACATACATGTCTGCCTTTGTGCCATCAGTGTAAAAGCTCTTGAAACGATAGTATTTAGTCTGCAGTTCAGAAAATTCTGGTTTGAGCACCTTACATGGTGTTTCCCTTTTATTAAAATTTTGTCAGTGAGAGGTCACAGTCAATGAGGACGTGTTCCCAGGGGGCAATCTTGTTGAGATACTGGGCTACGCTGAGGTTCGTATGAAGGCTTATTGACTCTGCTATTTTCTTATTAAAAGGGGGGGAATGATGTTTGGCTTGTTCTCGAACGTCTTTTCAAAGCAAGGCCGCTCAATAGCCTCCGTAGATAGATGTTCTGGGACCGAACAGATCCTCAACGAGTACATGAGGATCAAAGTTGTCCTTCTTTTTTCCAGGGAAAATTCATTTGCTTCAACATAGAGACTATGAATAGGAGACGTACGGAAGGCTGCCGAGGCAAGCCGTATGCCTGTGTGGTGAACAGGATCCTACATTTTCAGAACAGACACCCTTGCCGATCCATAAACAATGCTTCCATAGTCAAGGCAGGACCGAACAAGTGAGCAGTAGATGCGCAACACTCTCAAGCGGTCAGATCCCCGTGACTTATGAGACAGAACCTTCAGGACATTTAATGCCTTTTGGATACTCTTCTTTAATTTCTTTATATGACAGATGAAGGTCAATTTTTGGTCAATCATAAGGCCTAAAAACTTATGAGTCGTTTTGTTCTGGACTGGTTGGCTATAAATGGTCAACGATGGTTCCAGTATGACTCCCTGCTTCCGTGAAAAAGTAACGCAAGCTGTCTTTTCAGTAGAAAATTTGAATCCATTTCTGTCTGCCCAATAGACCCTTCCCGAAATTCAGTCTGGCCACTTTGATCACTATCATCATCATCGGAAAAATGGCATATGTGCCATACCAATGGCGGCTTTCTATTTACTGATGAAGGAACATGGTTGAAGATACTCCTAAGCTGAGGATTCGAAGCCTATACATTCTAGACGTTAGCACGTTGCGAAACCGGAATTAAATGCAAGCGCTACGTAAGTGTTCATTTCTCTAATTCGAGCCCAGTGAACCTGTTTGTGGCACAAAATCGACTTCGAAACCCCTTGACTTATAGAACTTTAACAAGGCGTCTGTCTGGGTTGGCGCTTCGTTCTGACTGGTTGCATCGCTGTGGGAATCGAGACTGGATGAGATGATTCAGAAAAACCTGTATAGCGAAAAGTTTATTCTCGTCTGCCGTTGACATGCAAAAGTAACGGTGCCCGATAAAATACTGCAGGCTACGGGTTCATTGCCGCCATTCGTATGGCAAAAGTTAAACCGCCATTTCAGCCACCAGATGGCGCTGAATTTCGGAAAGGGTCTATTAACCTTGTTATTAATTGCTAGCTGCACCAGACGCTCACAAATAGAAAAAATTACAAGACGACACAGAAATTTGAATGTCATCTACATACAAGGGATACTGGACCGATTTCGGAATAACACAGGCGAGAGAATTAATTTTGACTATAAAAAGGGTAACACTAAGCACACCACCCTGAGGGACACCATTCTTTTGCAGGAATTCTCTAGAGAGCGTGGTTCCTAGTTTAACTTGAAAGGTACGGTGTTTTAAATAGTCTTTAACGGCAGCGAGCATTTGACCACGAATGCCTAAAACATATAAATCGATGAGAATTCCATGACGCCAGGCAGTGTCATAAGCGTTCTCCAAGTAAAAAAAGAAACAGACATACAGAACTGTCGATTTACAAAGGCTTCACGGACGGTGGTTTCAAGTTGTACGAGATGGTGTATGGTTGACCTGAAAGATCGAACGCCATATTCAAACCGATCGAGCAGGCCGTGTTTTTTCTAATATATACATTAACCTTTTATTGACCATCCTTCCAAAAGTTTTTCTAAGACAGCTAGTCAAGGCAATGAGCCTGTAACTAGATACTTTATAAGGATCTCTGCCGCGCTTTAAAATAGGAATAATATGAACTTTTTCCCATGCAAGGGGCAGCAAACCCTCTTGCCATACACGCTTAAAAAGAAATAGAACAATCTCCAAGGTAGAGGGGTGGAGGTGCATAAGCATGTGGTAGTTAATGCTGTTGCAGATTGAAAAGAATTTGAAGCTCACGAGAAACTAGAAGAAAGAAGAAGGCTCGAGGCACAAGCGGAACGAGGCGAATGACAGAAGCCGGTTGAGACACTTCTCTGTAATGATGTATATTCGATTGATTTATTAGTGTAAATACAGTTTGTGTTTTGTTTTTACGCTTATTGCCTCATTTAAATACGACGCCCACACGACCTCTTAAATTCTGAGACATTATGGTGCCGAAACCCGGGAACGAGAACGATAGAGGTGAGCGGATTTTCCACCTTTGTGGAACACCTGCATGGAACGCTGTTTCCGAAAGCTGCGTGGGAGATCGTCAAACATAGAACGTCTCAAGGCAAAACGTGGAGTGAAGCGGTCGCAAAACACGAAAATTATCCACGAGGCGACAGCAGGGATGGAGACAGCGGACCTGGCATTGCTGACTGCCTGGCTAGAAAGGCTGAAGGCCAATAACAGGGCTCTTCAAGAGTCGAACGTGGAGATAGAAGATCATATATCGGAACAAGACCTCGTCGCAGAATACACTACGGTCACGGAGTACGACGACGAGGCCATCCGAATGATGGCGCTGTTGGACTGCAAGGCAGACGCACTGAGACGTAAAGAACAACAGGTACAAGCCACCCAGATGACCACATCCGCGACAACATCTGCGAATGCCACTACAGACCTGGGAAGAAATCACAGCAACGTGACTAGCGGCGTGAAGCTTCCCAAGTTACGACCTCAAACTTTCAACGGTGAGGTCAGCGCGTGGCAGAGCTTCTGGGAGCAGTTCGGTCGTGCTATCCACGAAAACGATAGCATTCCGCGATCGGACAAGTTTCAGTACCTGCGCAACCATGTCACCGGACCAGCGGCGGCGGCCATCGCTGGGCTCCAGGCAACTGAGGCCTGCTACGACGATGCCATTGAAATCCTGACACTGCGCTTCGGTGATAAACGAAGGATCGAGCAAAATCATCTGGCGAATCTCCGAGCACTGCCTCCTGTTGCCTCTGCAAAAGTCACGAAAGGCCTCCGAAAGATGTACGATCACGTCCAGACGAACATCCGAGGTCTGAAAGGGCTCGGCGTGGGATCGGCAACGTACTCCACGATGATGTCCGATATCCTCCTCAAGGCCTTGCCGAGCGAAGTCGTCGTAAATTATCACCGGCAGCACGCAAGCAGCACTGCCTACAGGTCGACGGGAGAAACGCAAAACAGTCCGACTTCACTGAGTTCACCAGCGGTGCAGGACACCGGACACTCTGTCGACGGACCACTTACCACCCGGAGCGCTTCAAGGCCGCCCTCTTTCGCCGATGCCGAAGATGAGCTCGCCGATATTCTAAGCTTCCTTCAGATCGAAGTTGAGAGTAGGGAGAGAGCCGGAGTAGTAGAAGAACGGCAAGAGACGCAGAAGAAAAGGACTGAAAGACCCAGAATGCCCAGCAGCCTCTGTGCTACATGGAAATATCACAAGCCCCTGCTTCTTTTGCCGGTCCACAAAGCACGCAACAGAAGTATGTACTGGCGACCTCACGTTAGAGGTGAAGAAAAGGAGGCTGGCGGAAGAAAACCGCTGCTTCAGATGCAGAATGGTGACATGCGCGTCGTGCTCCGGTCGACATGCCACATCCATGTGCGACCCGAACTGGAAACCTAACGTGAAGAAATCGGATAGAGGTGCCCCGGCGACAAGCGTCCAGAACGCAATCTCCGACAGTGCTGACGTCCCATTGCATTCCGAAGTGCTTCTTCAAACGTTCCGAGCCTGGGCTGAGAAAGGAAACCAAAGACTTTACGTGCGAGCCATTATCGATGGAGGTAGCCAACGGACGTTCATTCGTGAGGATCTTTCTCGCAAACTCGGCCTCAAGGTTCTGGGATATCTTAGCCTCCGGCTAAATACGTTCGGCCACTCCACGTCACGACCGCGACGTCGGCGACTAGTACAAGTACGGTTGCACAGCCAATACGGCCAAGAAGAGTGCGTCATCGAAACCGTCGAGGTACCCTTCATCTGTAAGGACGTTGTGCAGGCACCCGTCGACCACAAATTTGTTCGCCGTATGAGGAAAAACGGCCGTCGTATTGCGGACATGCTTCTCTCCCCTCTGACCACTGCTGAAGAGGGCATTTTCCTTCTGGTCGGTTCAGACCAGTTGTGGCGAGTGAACGGTGACCAAGTGCTGCATTGCAAGGAAAATCAGAAGCTGGTAGCTATAAGCACCATTTTTGGCTGGTCCTTTCAAGGCCCAGTGTCAAACCACAGCTCTCTCAAAGGCAGCGCTAGCAGCATGGTATGCGTACTAAGAACGGAATGCTTCACGAACGAGGACGTCGGAGACATCCTGCGGTGTTTTTGGGAGCTAGAGAGCATCGGGATTTCTGACCAGCCCTCCAGCAAGATGGAAGAACACAACGAACTGCTGAACGAGTTCAACCGAACAATACGGAAAGTGAATGGACGGTACGAAGTCGGTCTACCGTTCAAGGTAGGCGCGGGAGAACTGAAGGATAACCGCACGCTGGCATTGAAACGTCTTGAGAGTTTCAAGAAGAGATTGTCACGCGACGAGTCCTTCGCAAAAGATTACGACAACGTCATACGCAGCTACATCACCTTAGGACACGCAGAAAAAGTTTCAACAAGCCCATTTTGCGCCGAGTCGACAAACCCACGGATTTATTATATGCCCCATCAGCCCGTAATTCGGAATGAATCCGAGACCACCAGGCTGAGAGTCGTCTTCGACGCTTCGTCTCATCTCCCAGGAGTTGCTTCACTCAACGAACAACTGGAAAAGGGGCCGAATTTGAACGCCGATCCGGTCGGAATCTTGGTGCGCTTCCGTCTACACCCAATCGCCTTAACAGCGGACATAGAAAAGGCGTTTCTGCAGGTCAGCGTTCGACCTGAAGATCGAGACGTCCTACGCTTCCTGTGGTTTCAAAGAGATTCGTCGTCAGCAAGCTCTGAACCAACCGTTGAAGAGTGGAGGATGACGAGAGTGCCCTTTGGGACATCGGCCAGCCCCTTTCTACTAACCGCCACTGTTACTCGTCATCTGAGCAACGTCAATGGAGAATTGCGATCGACTGCGGAACTGCTTCAACGGGGATTCTACGTCGACGACCTCCTGATCGGAGCCCCCACTATTGAAGAAGCGGCGCGAGTACAGGAACAAGCCAACCAGATTTTAGAAGATGCAGGAATGAGACTCCGAAAGTGGTCTATCAACGCGACAGAACTGCAAAGATCGTTCGATAAAGCTGCATCAGCGTCTGCACTCTCTGAGCCGAGAGCTGTACTTGGACTTCTTTGGCGACGTGACGCTGACACGCTGGCCATTCCAGTGGAGAGAATCCTGAACTTCGTCACGTGCAGTGGGACGACGAAGTGCTATGTACTCCGTGCATCAGCTAGGGTTTTCGACCCGTTGGGACTCCTTGCTCCGTTCGTTATACGAATCAAGGTTTGGTTTCAAGGAATCTGGGAACGAGGAATCGGTTGGGACGATGATCGAACGGATGACCTACTGGTGCAATGGCGGCGATGGTGCGCAGAACTTCCGCATTAAGAAGAGATAGTGATTCCTCGCTGCATCATGAAGACGCCAAGAGATGTCATATGTTCTCTCCAACTACACGTCATCTGCGACGCAAGTCCGGTGGCCTATGGCACTTGTGCCTACCTGAGGGCTGAAGGAGAAGATGGGAAGGTAGAGGTGAACTTGATGTTCTCGAAATCGCGTGTGGCGCCCATAAAGCGAATAACACTACCTCGACTAGAACTAATGGCTGCAGTGATTGGAAGACGGATGGGCCAGTATCTTGGAGAGATTATGAACATTCAAGAGACATTCTACTGGACAGATAGCGCTATCACACTTCACTGGATCCGCGGGTCAGCAACTCAGTGCAAGCGCTTTGCGGCAACTCGAGTGGCAGAGCTTCAATCTGGAGAGTCACCTTCTACATGGAAGCACTGCCCCGGACAAGAAAATCCGGCAGATTTGATGACACGAGGAATATCTGCGGAAACTCTAAAAGGTATGCAATTGTGGTGGAAGGGTCCAAAGTGGCTTGGTAAAACCGAAGACGTATGGCCGAACCTCGCCATGGGCGACGACGTTCCAGTAGCAGTTATTGCAGAGGAGCGAAAGCTGGAACATCACGTATTGCAGACTGCAGCAGAGGGGATTGCACCTCTATTGGAACTTGAACGGTACGGAGCGCTGGAACGGATCCTCAGGATAACTGCATGAATTAGGTGGTTTGCAAAAAACTGCCGAACGCGGCGAAGCCGACGTGAGGGCCCGCTAGCATCCGAAGAACTTGAACGAGCCGAGACTTGGTGGATCGCACGAACGCAACAGGAAGCTTTTACACGAGAATTGAACGATCTAATGGCAGATAAGAATCTGGAAAGGCGATCCAGCACAGTCTCGCTCGCCCCCTTCATTGACCCCTTGGAACTGACAAGTGAATAAACCAAGGCAACTCTCACGCGAAAAGGAAAAGAAAGGAAGGGGGGGGGAGGATGTTGCAGATTGAAAAGAATTTGAAGCTCACAAGAAACGAGAAGAAAGAAGAATGCTCGAGGCACGAGCGGAACGAATGTGTTCCGCACATAGGTCGCTGTGTTTCCAACGAGACTACCTCCACAGCACTCTCTCTCCTCTCGTTGGAAACACAGCGACCTATGTGCGGAACACCGGGCACTTTGTGGAACAGGTTGCGCAACTAAAGGTAAACGATGACGAAAGCCTGGTGTCGTTCGACGTCGTCTCGCTCTTCACCAGCGTGCCGGTTCCCCTGGCAGTCGCCACAACCAGAGCTGCCCTCGAGGGAGACAAGAAGCTGAGCGAACGGACCAGTCTTACGGTGGACGAACTGTGCCGCCTGCTAGAGTTCTGCCTGGGGAGCACCTACTTCAGCTTTAAAGGAGAATTCTTCAAGCAGACCAGCGGAACCGCAATGGGCGCATCCATCTCCGTCACCACGGCCAACCTGACAATGGAAGCCATTGAACATCGCGCGCTGGAGTCTTTCACTGCACGCCCTAAAGTGTTTTTACGGTATGTCGACGATTGCTTCTGCATTATGAAGAAATCAGAAGTGAACAACTTTTTGGCACACCTCAACTCCATCGAGCCGGCCATCCAGTTCACCGTTGAAACTGAAAAGAACGACGCCCTGCCGTTTCTTGACGTGCTGGTCAAAAGACAAAAAGATCAATTGGAATTCACGGTGCACAGAAAACCGACACACACTGGGCGCTATCTCCGATTTGACTCAAACCACCCTGCGAGCCACAAGGCGTCGGTCGTCCAGGCACTCCTGTCCCGAGCGAGGACTATTTGCTCGTCGGAGGACTACAGAAAAAAGGAAGAAGAAACCATCATCTCCGACTTGCTAAATAACGGCTACACACGCAGTTTCATTCAGCGAATCGCTCGTCGTCAACGTAAATCTGATCGACGCCTAAGACCAATCGGCGAAACACAAGAAATCGCACATCTCCGCTCAACCACGCGCATCTGCATCCCTTACATAAAGGAAACCAGCGAAGCGCTCGCGCGTGTGCTGGCAAAAGAAGGCATCCAGATGTCCCACAAACCAGTGTCAACGCTTGGACACCTGATGCCCCGGCCAAAAGATCGTCCCCCCAAGGAAAGAGCGCAAGGCGTTATTTACCAGATTCCTTGTGCGGATTGCCCTGCCACATACATCGGCGAAACCAAAAACTTTAAAGAAAGACTTCGCCAGCACAAAACCGACGTGCGAAAATTCGATCATGAGCGCAGCGCGGTTGCGGAACACAGTGACTCGAATGACCACCGCATTGACTTCGACGACACACGCATCCTCGACATTGAGACCTATTCCCGACAAAGGCTCTTCGTCGAGTCATGGCACATTCAAACCACACCGCAAAACATCAATCGGTCGCTTGGCGCTTTACCGTCGGCTTACGTCAGCGGGCTCAGCCACATTACGATCGCGAAATCATCACGTCCACCGCCGTAAAAGAAGACCACTTGCTCCTCGCACACACAGTCGCCCCTGATGAAGAAACCAAGCAGGTTTCGAAACGTTGGGCTCCTTTTTATTTTTGGTTGGCGTTCCTTCCTCCTCTTCTAATTGTTCTTACCCAACCAGGCAGATTTCTGCCAAATGTTTACTTTCAAGCCTAGGGATGATGACTGCAACACCTCCAGAAGAATGAGATGTGCGAAGCCTGTCCTTTCTAAACACGTGAAAAGGCTTCAGAAAATTATAAAGAGTCTGCTTTAGGTGAGTTTCCTGAAGGCAGAAGGCTATGGGATGATGTTCTTCAAGCAGAGAGTGGACATCATCATAATTACATAATAGTCCTCTACAGTTCCACTGAAGAATACTCATGGTTGTGGTTGATATGTAAATTAGAGATGTAAAGGATTGAATAAAAAGTAGAGACTGGGCCTTTTTGTTGCACTAGTGACAATGCTGTGCCTTAATGAGAAGGGATTACCGGTCTTTTTTCTTTGTGTTTTGGCTTAGGGGTCTGCCATTTCATTTCTTCTTGGTCCGATGAAGGGCCAGAGGGGTTAGCAGTATTGACTGCTTCTGCGAAGCCTGCTCTATAGGGGCAGTTTTGCCACTGTTCGCGTGGTCGGAAGCCCGCGGTACGAGCCACGACCAGACCCAGCCGAAGGCGGCTTCGAAGTGCTGGGTCGAGCGTCACCCACAGCTGTGTTTCCCAGCTTTTTCGAGGCGGAAGCAGAATGTGAGCCATGCTGCTCCTTAAGCAGGTTGGCTCCATCCAGGGAGTTGGAGCGGTTGCCTTGCTCCTCATCCCGTGGAGAATACCCATTAAAACGGGCGGCCATTCAGCCGGCAGCTTTGCCTGGAGGGCAAGGGAAGCATATGTACTGCTAGTGTTAGCTGGGGCACACGGCTTCTCCACAGTTTGGTTTGGGGCCTGAGGAGGGCCCGCCAAGTCTTCCAGTGAAAACTGGGTGGCCCTAGATTCCATGTGCGGTGCACGGCCCCTGCGGACCGCATCAGAGTATGAGCCCTTCGAGATGAAGGACCACCTTTGTTTCGCCTCAGGGTAAGATAAATTCTCTTTCGCTCTTAACGTCAAAATCTCTTTCTCCCCCTGCCACAAGGGACAGGTGCGAGAGTATGCTGGATGGGGACCTTTGCAGTTTGCGCAGCGAACCTACTTTTCACAAATGTCGGCAACACGATCGTGGTTCCCACACTTAGCGCACGTCTCCTTGCCCCGACAGCTGCGCAACCCATGACCAAAGCGCTGGCATCGGAAGCACCACTGTGGGTTCGGGACATAGGGTCGCACGCGACAGTCCGAAGTAGCCAGCTTTGACAAGCACCGGAAGCGTGTGACGCTCAAATGTCAAAATCAAGTGTTTGGTTTTAATTTCCGTGCCCTCACGTTTGAAAGTAATCCGTTGGACTGAAACCACCTTACATGCTCGTAGGCCTTTCAAAATTTCATCCTCACTGCTCGAGAGGAGGTCATCTTCCTAGATGACCCCACGAACCGTGTTCAGCATTCTTTGCTTGCTCACTGTGACCGGCAGATCACCAAGGGATGTCATTTTCAAAAGCGACGAGCTCTGTGACTTCCTTACCACCTCAACAAGTAGGTCTCCGTAATGGAGTTTCTTTGCTTTTGTATCCTGCACCAATGTTACTGTCTAGGATATTTGCAACTACAAAAGACGACAGTTTGGCAAGAGGTTGGTCTTGGTTTTCAGAGTGAATGACCAACAATCTCGGGAATGTTTCGTCTTCAGGATCTTGGGCAATGACCAAGAGTTCAGGACGCCGGCTCTTAGAGGTGCGTCCAGAACCGAGGGTTTTGGTTTGAGAGGGAGCCATGAAAGGCGAGAGGAAATTTGGAATCCGCGGTGCACCACCCCCCAACGAGCCCAACAAGGGGTTAGGTAACGCACCATAACAAGAAGGGTTTGGCTGGAGACGTTACACTAACAGTGCTGCCGGAAAACTATACCCAAGTGTGGGTCAAGACAGATGTCCAATGCTACCCAAGGTTAGCCCTTGCCGCCAAAGAGGGGTGAAAAAGAGCAAAACAAATGGGAAGCAAGTGAAAGAAACAGGAAGGATAAAGGTGAAAGATTGGAGGGGATAGTAGAAGAAAAGGCGACTAGACTGAATCATCCTGGCCGGGCCTTACCAGGACTCCCGTCTACGAGAAGCGGGGGCCGAAGGGATGTATTGACCCACCCGGGGGGCTCCGAAGGGTCCAAACCTACCCCGGGCTCGCCTCAACCACCAAGATGCCCTTTTTCCCGGACACGGGAAAGCCACGCACAGCCAGACGTTGGCGGGCGAACCCGCATGGCTCGGGGTCCATGGAGACGCCACTCTCCAAACACCTGCATTCACAGGTGCCCCCTGCGGGGCAAGCAATATTGTTGTGTGTATGCGTTACAGCCGGAAGGTAGTCTGTCTCGGTGGGCGTCTGGTGTCTCAGCTGTAGATGAGCAATTTATCCAGTGCGTTACAACCGCTAGCCTGGGGTTTTTAATGTGCACCACTCAGTAGTGATACACGACCGCACGCCGGCACGATGCTCATCCTGATTGAAACGGGCAGCGGCGGGAATTGAGCCGAAGATGCTGGGTTCTGCAGCCCGAGCTTTCGCTCCACGTGCTCCGGGCTCGTGTGCGCTAGATTTCCTGTATAGGCTCTCTACGGGAGCCAGAATAGACCCTTTCCGAAAGTCAGTCTACCCACCTTGTGCAGAGCCAGACCCGACGCTCTAATGGCGGAACTACACTGTTTCTCCACACCAGAAAAATCGAACGTCTTCGAAAGCATAGAGCAGAAGAAGGAAAAGATGTTGGTCGTTTCACGTCACCTTCGATGCACGAAATCGAGGGTGCTTGACTTAGCCGCGCATGATCTCCTATCACCGCCATTAGAGCGGCAATAGTGGAGCTTTTCGGACTGCCACAAGAGGACTCTGACTTTTGAAAAGGGTC